AGGAGCATGTGTCTGTCATGCTCCTTTGCGGTTCCCACATCCTGTGCTGGGAATTGTGGGAACCGCAGGGAGCATGACAGACATGCTCCTCCTCCTCCTTCCTCTTCAGTGTTAGTGAGCGGAATGCCGCCGGACCGGCGAGGCTGCCACCCGGTCCGGCGGCTCTAACATGAAACGGCCGGCCCCCTCACAGTGTGCCACCGGACTGGCCACCCGGTGGCACCTGCAGTCCCCCCCAATCCAGCCCTGCCGCCGGGCCCCCTGAAGGCGGCCCTGGCGGCGGGCCCCCCTCCCGGCCGGGCCCTCGGACCGTGTCCGAAGTGCCCGACCGGTCAGTCCGCCCCTGCCCAGGTACACACACACATATATCAAGTTACATCATATTTTAGCCACCCTCTTGTCTCCTTACCTTTTGGGTACAGAAGGGTGGCTTCCCTGGGGTCCAGTGGGAGCTGGAGGGCCAAGGCTGATGAGAGTCTGTCCTCAGTCCCTTTTCTCCTCCTGTATATACCTCCTCTTCCACCCCAGCGGCACTGTTATTTGGGAGGAAGTGATCTCACCTCACTTCCTTCCAGCAGGCAACATCAAAGGGGCCAAGGCCGAGCACTCTTAAAGGGCTGAGGGCCCTTAATTACATCAGGTGCTGCAGTCCACAGGATTTGCACCCCAGCAGGGGGCCCACAGAGCAGCTACTTTGGGCCCCCCAGGAGTAACTGGGCCCGGGGCAGCTGCCCCTTTTGCCCCCTTTTAAAGACGGCCTTGTATAGGGGGGGGGGTGTCTGCACAGTATATAGGGGTATGCTGCACACAGTATATAGGGAGATTACATGCACACAGTATATAGGGGGGGTGTCTGCACAGTATATAGGGGAGGTGTCTGCACAGTATATACGGAGGTTGTGCCACACAGTATATAGGGGTGTCTGCACAGTATATAGGGGGTGTGTCTGCACAGTATACTCAGGGAGGTGTCTGCACGAGGTATATAGGGGGTGTCTGCACAGTATATAGGGGGAGGGTGTCTGCACAATTATATAGGGGGGAGGGTGTCTGCACAGTATATAGGGGGGCTGCACAGTGTATTGGGGTGGGTCTGCGCTGTATATTGTGGGGTCTGTGAAGTATATTGGGGTGGCCTGTGTGTTAGATGGAGGGGCTGTTTGTTACATGTGGGGGGCAGTGTATTATATTTGGGGGCTGTACAGTACGTGTGGCCTGTGTGTTAGATGTGTACAACCCTAGTTTCACTGAAAAATATATTTATTTCATAGATATCATATGGCATGCTTTTTGCTATGAAACCGCAGCCATCTAGTCACTCGCCAGAGAAGGATGAGAAACTGCACCCCAGCGAGAGGGACAGCCTAACATCTGCAACCAAATCCGTCGGTCACCGAATTCAGTAATCTCCGTCTCTTTGTGCATTGTGTATGTATGGTACTCCCAATTCTTATATTTAATCCGGTGTGTCTCCCACAATTTATGTGTCTGTCTGCTGTATGTATGTGGCACGCAAGTCTGCATGCACTGTGTCTGTTATGCCAGTTACTCTAACCAGTTTATTTCTTTTTGTGTGTGTCACAGCTCTGACAAGCATGTTCTCCTATGGGAATACACATGTGAGCAGTAACGCCACGTCAAGGCTTCAACCCTTGTTACTGACCATTCAAACACACCATCCGAATGCGGATGAATGCAAAGTATGGTGTGTTTGAATGGTCAGTAACAAGGGTTGAAGCCTTGACGTGGCGTTACTGCTCACATGTGTATTCATGTGCCAATTCAACCAATGTGAGTCACTGTAATACTTATAAGGTAACCAAAAGTACCGTGATTGTGGAGAATGAAACGCCTGTATCACCTAAACACTGCTTACCCTGTGACCGTATCTCCTAAATACTGCTGACACTGTGACCGTATTTCCTAAACACTGCTGACACTGTGACCGTATTTCCTAAACACTGCTGACACTGTGACTGTATTTCCTAAACACTGCTGACACTGTGACTGTATTTCCTAAACACTGCTGACACTGTGACCGTATTTCCTAAACACTGCTGACACTGTGACCGTATTTCCTAAACACTGCTGACACTGTGACCGTATCTCCTAAACACTGCTGACACTGTGACCGTATCTCCTAAACACTGCTGACACTGTGACCGTATCTCCTAAACACTGCTGACACTGTGACCGTATCTCCTAAACACTGCTGACACTGTGACCGTATCTCCTAAACACTGCTGACACTGTGACCGTATTTCCTAAACACTGCTGACACTGTGACCGTATTTCCTAAACACTGCTGACACTGTGACCGTATTTCCTAAACACTGCTGACACTGTGACCGTATTTCCTAAACACTGCTGACACTGTGACCGTATCTCCTAAACACTGCTGACACTGTGACCGTATCTCCTAAACACTGCTGACACTGTGACCGTATCTCCTAAACACTGCTGACACTGTGACCGTATCTCCTAAACACTGCTCACACTGTGACCGTATCTCCTAAACACTGCTCACACTGTGACCGTATCTCCTAAACACTGCTTACACTGTGACCCAATCGCCTAAACACTGCTTACACTGTGAATGTTATTTATTTCAAGTTAGTTTTAGTGTTTGCGGTTTCATTGATTTGTTAACCACTCTCCTCAATCTTCTGTTCTGTGTTTTCTTACATTTGTGGGAAGAACAAGGTGATCCTCTCAATTTTACACTCCTTTACTGATGGTTCCAGTGCCAGAGAAAAAACCCACCACCATTAACCTCGACCTGCTCAAACAGAAGAGATTACCTTCTTCTATAGAAAACGTCCGTATGGCTGTTTCGGAACACATGCTGCAGACATGATGTAACCTTCATTTTCCAGTGATTAAGAATCGTGGACCGTCCAGGGAAAGAGACCATTATATTATTAAGATACTACCTTCCTAATACCATACAGCCTTTCTTTACATGTGATCATGTGATTGAACTTTCTCCTTCTTGGATACCACAGTGTGACTTTTTTCTTAACCAGTTTCCAAATTTGACTTTTATATTTTTTCCACTATACATATAAAGTCTAAAATGCATATTAACTTTGAAGAAATAAAGTATTTTGCTGACACCTTAACATGCGATTTGTGTTACTTAGCTACAAATAATACCATCACTAGCTGTGTTCCATTGTAGTTTCTCAGAAACTGCAATATTTAACATTGCAAGATTAAGGGGACATTGGCACTGCACCCAAACCATTTAAACGAGATGACGTGGGCTTTTAAAGAGCAACTTCTTACTATGCTTATTGCTATCTTTTGAAAGTCATCACATTTATAAGCAAAACTATGCATAGGCACAGTGACACGAGGACCTAGATGCACCATAAATTATCATATGTTGTTACAAAGCCATATTTCCTAACAGTCCTGGATTGTTTAGTAGAGTCCCAGTTTGGGTTTGCTCTCCACTGTCCCACAATAATTAACAAGTTAACATTATTTCAGACAAATTACTGTACATTTAAAAATTAAGAGTTGAAATTTTTTTTAAAGTGGCAATATAAAAAAGTCAAACAATATTTAATTTCTAATTTAACTAAATTGAAAAAGTATGTTGTCCATTAATTACATAATTGCACATGTGGCCTAATATCAGATATATCAGATATTGTTATTGTCATCCCCCTATCACCCCCCTCACCCTGTCACCTCACCTCATCACTCCTTGTCACCCCCCTCTTACGGTCACCTCACCATCACCCCCTCACTCTGTCATCCTCCTCACACTATGTCACCCACCCTCACTGTCACTCACCCTTACTCTGTCACCCATACTCTCACATTATGTCACGCCCCCCCTCTTACTCTGTCATTCACCCCTCACCTCATCACCCTCCCTCTCACACTGTCACCCTCCCCACACGGCCACCACTCTCCGCACTCTGGCACCTCCCTCCATGCACACCGTCAACCCTCAACGCGCAGGCACCCTCCTGCTCTTTTGCACTCACCCTGCCACAGTTACCCCTTTACTCATCGTCACCCCCCCCAAAGGGGATGCCTGAGTTTTGTCCTGCCTAGGGCAGCACAAAACCAGGATACACCACTGAGCTCCACCATCAATATATTAACAGCTTCTTATACACAAAGTCAACTGCTATTTTTTCTTCAATAATGGTGTTCTCCGTGGGGTCTCATGTATGAGTTTCGCCTAAGGCCTCGCCAAGTCTAGAGCCGACACTGCAGTACAGCCCTTCAGTATCCAATAGTCTCTTATGCAGGGACTCCTCAAAGCGGTTTGCTCCTTCCCTCTGGAACTGTAAAAATAAAAAATATATAGTTACAACTCACCAAATTGTAACCAGAAAGCATATTACTTATTTTATATTATTAGAAATGACAATTTCAATGTTGAAGATTGGAGGCGTAGAATAGAAAGAATGATCGAGCGCTTTCAATTTTAAATAAAAAACATGTCTGTGCTTACAGTGTAAGTAGTGTTTAGGTGATAGGGTCAGAGTGTGAGCAGTGTTTAGGAGATACGGTCACAGTGTGAGCAGTGTTTAGGAGATACGGTCACAGTATGAGCAGTGTTTAGGAGATACGGTCACAGTATGAGCAGTGTTTCGGAGATACGGTCACAGTGTGAGCAGTGTTTAGGTGATACAGTCGTTTCAGTCTCCACAATCACGGTACTTTTGGTTACCTTATAAGTATTACAGTGACTCACATTGGTTGAATTGGCACATGAATACACATGTGAGCAGTAACGCCACGTCAAGGCTTCAACCCTTGTTACTGACCATTCATCCGCATTCGGTATTCCAGATGTTTTGCACTACACCTCCCATGATGGTTTGCCAGCATTATGGGAGATGTAATTCACAGCATCTGGACTGCCCAAGGTTACATACCTCTGAACTATGCCGTGATCACAGTACACAATGTTGAAGTTGCTGTGCAAACAGGAGCAGCTTGTCATGTGTCAGATGCCACTTCATTAGTTATACATTCAATACTCCACCCTGGAGACGGGCATCAAACATGGGCTTCTTCATTCCTCTTCATGTACTTCGTGTCCCATAGGAGAACATGCTTGTCAGAGCTGTGACACACACAAAAAGAAATAAACTGGTTAGAGTACCTGGCATAACAGACACAGTGCATGCAGACTTGCGTGCCACATACATACAGCAGACAGACACAAAAATTGTGGGAGACACACCGGATTAAATATAAGAATTGGGAGTACCATACATACACAATGCACAAAGAGACGGAGATTACTGAATTCGGTGACCGACGGATTTGGTTGCAGATGTTGGGCTGTCCCTCTCGCTGGGGTGCAGTTTCTCATCCTTCTCTGGCGAGTGACTAGATGGCTGCGGTTTCATAGCAAAAAGCATGCCATGGCATATGATATCTATGAAATAAATATTTTTCAGTGAAACTAGGGTTGTACACATCTAACACACAGGCCACACGTACTGTACAGCTCCCCATCTAACGCACAGCCCCCAAATATAATACACTGCCCCCCCACATGTAACAAACAGCCCCTCCATCTAACACACAGGCCACCCCAATATACTTCACAGACCTCACAATATACAGCGCAGCCCCCATATACTGCGCAGATCCACCCAATACACTGCGGACCCCCTATACACTGCAGACCCCCCAATATACTGTAATCTCCCCTCGGATGGCTGAGGGTGTTGGGAGCAGGGGGAGACTGACCTGTTTTAATCCAAGGATGGGAGTCCGCGCGTGCGCAGTACTCGGGTAGGGAAATTTGATAGCCATTTGGGTCTGTCCTGTGAAATTTCCCTACCCCACATTGCGCATGCGCGGTCGATTGTGTCCGCGCATGCGCAGTATAGGGGTAGGGAGATTTAACAGGAGAAATGGCCATCAAATTTCCCTACCCCAGTACTGCGCACGCGCGCTGTACCTCCGACGGGAGTACTAGACGCGCGTGCGCAGTGCGACGTTAATTTCCCCTGCTCGCTGTTAACATTCCCTACCTGGAGGTTGTGCACCTGTGCGATGCGGCACACCTCCTCCTCTATTGGTTGGACGTCACTTCCGGTGCGGCCGCGTCACCGGAAGTGACGAGGGTATGTAATTTTTACGAGGTATGTCTTTCTGATAGAACACCTGCACATTGCTATGTTAATCCGCCCAGAGCAGGAACGAATTCAGCGTGGCGCCCAGGATAAAAAGTACACACATAAACAAAGGGGAGGGAGGGAGAACTTCAGGAGACAGCAGGAACCAAAGACAGGAAACAGAGGAGCCTCTTAAAAGGTAAGAGGAGGTCCCTCCCATCATACTGCAACATTTTCATGAATAAACTACAGTCCCAGGAGAAGATCCCATTAATTAAGTTTCAGGCCCAGTAGGGGGCCCAACGTTCCCAGAAATGATATTATCGTTTTATATTTTATGATTTATTTTAACGTTTAGCTCAGTAATCCCAGACTCTGGAAGCTGAGATGTGGAGAGAGAATGATGAAAGTATTATGCATGACAGACACACACTGCTAAGCAAACACTACCCACGCACATAATAAACACATAGAGACACACACACTAATGCAGATATACAGATACAAGATATTTGTGTGCAAAGCATGTTTTATCACATTTAAATCTCCTCTCAAGCTTTACACATTTATTGTAGTCTATGTTTATTGTAGAATGTGGGTATTATTCTTGTATACAAACCAATAATATGGAGCGCCTAATAAAAGGGGGACTTTGAGATTAATAAAGAGGGACAGAATAATTTGGGCCTAAAATAGGAACTTTGCAGTTTTGTGTGTTGTTGCCCTGTCCATTTCAGTCATGCCTTGTAATAGAAGGTGGTAAGCAGTTGGGATTAAATTTAGGCCTGGCTAAAATTTGGACACGGAAATGCATTCCCGTCCCTGACTTAAAGCAATCTGTCAGCCGGAAGTACCGACGTGTTTTTTTTTTTTTTGATCAAATATTGGAATTATCCCCTAAGGAATGAAAGGTGCTGCGGCACCAAGCCCCCAGAGGGGGAAGAACAGGGGGAGTGGAGGGGGACAGAGGGAGGAGGGGGGCCGCCAGACAGAGGAACGGCGTTAATGGGTCGGTGTGTGCGGACTCCCCCAGGACCCCACAGGGATGTCTGCGGCCCAGAGGAGGGAAAGAGGAGGACATAGGGAAGGCGGGGACACGGACAAGGGGGGAACAGCGGCACAGCCCCCGCCGGCTCCCGCCCCATACAGCACAGGCATAACTGCAGATCCGCTACTATATGGATACTCCCTCTCCATGTGAGATGTCTGAAACCCCGGGGAGTTAGTTACAAAGGACACGGCTTCTAGTCAACCTCCAGTGCCATTATACAAAGCTAAGCAAGGCATTGAAAAAATAGTAGGCAAGCCACAAATAAATTTGGTCTGGCAGAGCGATATTCATAACATTCTATATAAATGGCAGTCTTATCTAGGGTTTCGTGTTTAGCCGGTTTGCGCCCCCCACGGCGGAGGGGAAAGCAAGCCCCAGCCAATGCTCCCACCCGGCCGAGGCAGTCCCCCAGATCACCGTCCCGGGCCACCCCAGGGGCCGCATCTAAGCCACGTAGACCACACCATGCCCAACACATCGCCCACCCCCCCCCCAGTCCGACCCGCACCCAGTCCGACCCACCCCGGACCCCCCCCACAGCATCATATGGGCCATCCACATCGCATGGATAACAGCAGTACAGCCTAAATTTTAAAAAGAAACAGTACAGAAATGGTTGTATGCAATAGTCACTAAGAGGGACCCCAATATCAGGCGCCCTGAGAGTTGCCACGCTGTTCAAGGACTTCCCCCGCTGCCTAACCCCTCCGGGTTTGGCTATCGACTATTAATAGTGTCCGTGGGGCTCGCATATGGGTTAGTATCCCCAGTGTCTTACGGCTCTGATTAAAGAGGAAACGGTTTAGAATTTATGTGAAGCTTATTAAGGGTTTGTGTCTATGTGTTGTGGGGAAAGCTTGGTACTTGCGTGCCCTCCATGCGACAGACCACATGGTTAGCGGCGGCCGGGAGACGCTGTCCACTCCAACTGAAGCTTGGTATTGGACGAATTGCGGGTAGATTCTATTTGGAGGTTAATACCCCATAAAGCCAGCCTGCGGACTCCATCTTCTATAGAGGATATAGTTGTAATCGCGTCGTCTTTAAAAAACTGTAGTTTTGTGGGATACCCCCAGCAGTACCGCAGCTCATTGCTGCGGAGGGCAGCCGTGATGGGAGCAAATTCTTTCCTTCTGCGAAGAGTCGTTGCAGAGAGGTCCGGAAAAATTTGAATTTTGTCGTATCCCTCGGGTGGTTGCGTTCTATTCCTGCTAGTTGTTAGAATGTGCTCCTTCACGTGATCATAATGCGCGCGTAGTAAGACATCTCTCGGAGAGGTATCTGGAATTTGGCGTTGACGGGGGACCCTATGGACTCTGTCAAGCAGCAGCATATCGGTGGGTATATCCGGAGCGTATGCCTTAAGGAGGCCTTGCACATATCCTTGGAGGTCGATGGAGGACTCTGATTCTGGTATGCCACGCAGCCGCGGGTTATTTCACCACGATCTGTCTTCCATGTCAGCAAGTTTGGCCTCTGTGTACATTAGCTTCTCCTCAAGCTGCTCCACGTGGGTTGCTAAATCGTTGTGCGCCACAGCCACCTCGTCCATTTTGGTCTCTGTTAGATGTTCTCTTCCCAATTTCTTGCAGATCTTTACACAGGGAATCTACTGAGTGTTGCCATGAACTTATCAGCTTGTTGGATAGCGCATCCAGCGCTTGGGCTAAGTGCCCCGTGGTTAGAGCCTCCTCTTTCTCTGAGCGTGGGAGCAGGCCATCCTCCGAGTAGCCGTCACCATCTTGGGTCTCGGCCTGCATATGCAAGTGCAGTGTAGGCGGCTTCTGTTGAAAGAAGTTAAATTTTTCGGCCTTTGCCGTGTTTTTCTTCCCTTTGTTATGGGACATGTCGTAGTATTAATCTCAGATGTCGTTCTGTGTTTTGGGATTGGAACGGATTGTCAGCTCAACCGCCCGAGCTCAGGCTTAAGCGTCCATCTTGCTTGGCGGCTGGTCACGCCCCCGAGGGAAAGTAATTTTGATGAACTAACTGTGCCAAATAACATGAACACCCAGGGTAGGCAAAAAATTTTAAAATATATACAGTACATATAGAAGTCAATAGTGGTAATCCTATATAGTGATACTTGGTAAAAGTCACACTTGTGGGTCCAGAAAGAGTATCCAAAATAATGGAAGCTAGTTACAATAGGCTTCTGCTATGAAAGCAGCTTGAATCTCTCTTGATATAAGCTGAAATCATACAGTACCTATACTGCAATAATAGAAATAACATAGGTACAGATATCTTCTCGCTAGATCGTATTTTTAGACCACTGGAAGGAGTCCAAGTAAACAATTGCAGCATTAATCTAAAAGAGAGAATAAAAAGGAGCCATAGTGTGCTCTGTAAAATTGATTAAAACACTATTCAATTAATAAAACCACTCACAGATTCCCATAAGATATCAGGCATGTAGAAATGTAGCAAAAGCCCGTCCTTCCTTCTTATGAGCAGACATCCCGTTCTCTCCTCTACTCCTGCCGGCCAGAAGGAAAGTTGAGTTCTTGGACTAAATGATTACACTTTTGGAACTCTTTCCAATAGTTGCCTTAGAAGTATATGGCTTTGAGTTGGCAAATAAGAGAATTACTTTTCATTGTGACAACTTGGGAGTTGTTTGAGTAATTAATTCTCTTCGAGCTAAATCGATCCCTGTCATTACTTTTTTGAGAAGATTAGTCTTAATCTGTTTGGTTAAAAATATATGGGTAAAAGCAAGACATGTAAGTGGCAAAAGTAATTGTATAGCCAATTCCTTGTCCCGTTTCGATTTCAAGTCTTTCAGGTCCCTCGCACCTATAGCAGAAGAATGTGGAACAAAGTTGCCCGAGCACATCTGGGATCTAACTTCGCCCAGATAAGTCGATTGCTGGGTCTATCATTATCATCAATTTCTTGGAAAGCATATTTATTCACTTGGGATGAGTGGAATTGGTTTATGGTTAATCTCAATAAGGACACTACTGATCCTAACATACAAGATGCTATTCAATTTGTTATCAAAAATTCAGTCAGGAGCTTCTAAGTTTTCAGTAAATAGATTGTTACTAGGCATTTCATTTTTCTTTAAAGTTTTGGTTAAAAAAAATCTGTCTTGAAAGAATTTGTTATACAGCAAATGCTGAAGGGGGCTTAGGTAAAGAAACCACCTGTTCAGGTTAACAGGTCTCCTATATCATTTCAACTATTGGGTGATTGGGTTAATAATTTTAGCTCCATTTGTAATGATTCTTTTGAGATTCAATTATTCACCACGGCTTTTGTTTTAGCCTTCTTTGGAGCCTTTAGAATTAGCAAGTTAGTGTCTGCTAACAAGTCTTGCCATTCCGGCATACAATTTGACGATGTACACCTTCAGGGTGAAACTTTGCAGGTATTGGTAATAAGATCAAAGGCTGATCGACAGGGTAAAGGCAGATGGGTTCAGTTGGGCGCTACTCATCACGGGGATTTATGCCCAGTTAAAATAGTTGAAGCCTTTTTAAATATTCGCTCTAGAGTTCATGGTAGTTTTTTAATACATAGTTCCGGAATTCCTATTTCTAAGTTTCAGTTTTGAAAAGTTCTCCAGTTATCATGCAAACAGTTAGGACCAGGAGACCACCCTGTCCTTGGATTATGAAAACTCTTTTCCATTCCCCTGTTTGTTCGGTCAATTGCATTCACCTTTGATTTTATCATTATTCTGTTTGAATACCGAACAAACCAACGAATGACCAGACCACCCATGTCACGGGTGGCGGTACGGAAACCAGGACCCCTGATTGCCTGAAGTGGAGTTTTCAGCGTGGTAGAGGATTATCAGGGCCTGGTACAGGGTAACCACACGTCCTCTGGCATTGAGCACCAGCGTTTGTGCAGCCACATACCAGAACCCTGATTCAGCTTATGCGGATCCCAGGAACTAGGGGCTAGGAAATAAGCAGACCTCCCAGGAGCTGAATAGGGAGGCTCTGCAGCAGGTTTGTATCCAGTACAGAAACATGAAAACAAGACAGAACTAATAGAACCCAGAACCAGAGCAGGACAGAAAGCAGAACCCAGAACATGTACATAAGACATGAGGAAAACAAGAACATAACACGGGCATGACTGGACAGGACTGTACATGGACTAGGTATACAAACTAAAACAAGACAAGATAAGATAGGCAAAACAAGAGGAGAAATAACTAAGCAATAAATATGAAAATCATGGGAATTTAGTCACATTATATGATCATACATTGCATAAGCCTGCCAACAACGCCAATGTACCCCATATCTGGCAGGTTCTACACTGCCTAATGTTAGCTAAAACAACCAACAAATACATATATAGCACTTACCTGCAAGAAAGGGCAGAAGCCTTAAGCAGCTGCCTACAGGAACTCTGAAACAAAGGGAATGATTGAAAACAAACGGGTGTGGCAACATAAAACAAACATATAAATGAATCCAGGAGACTGGGAATTCCAAGGACGGAATAATGTAATGAAACCAGAAAACCCAGCAATGAAGAAAACCAGACATAGAATAGAAAACCAGAAAAACTAAACAAGAATTGTAAAAAGAGTACTGGATACCAGAAGCCAAGGCCAGACATCTCCACAGAACAGAGCAGGATGTGACAACCCGTATGCAGAGTGTGCTGCTTGTTAACCTCCGTCACCCCTGTCAGCACCTCATTAACACTTATAACCGCAACATTCTAAACAGTTGGCTGGGTGGTCGCCGTTCATATGTACAAACACGTGGTGGGGGCCATCTTGAGCCATGAACGCAGGCTGCGGTGTTTGGTCGTTGAGTGCATGGAACTAAAATCGAAACAATCGACCGCCCAAACACCGCTGAACTTCCATTTTTGCTTCCGTCCGTCTACATTCGTCTGGAAGGAACACACTGTAAAATCTGGTTGGAACGATCGTCACTGTTAAATCTTCTTAATTTCTTCTTGTCTTCAGTTGATTGCTATATATATACGTCTTTTGTATATATAGTCTTGGGACAAATGCTCGGCACAATAATATGTCTATATTATTGAAAAGTACTAATACGCAATCTGACTTATGGTTTCTTCAGGTTTATTAGTTACTCATACATAATAAAACATAATAAATGATGTTACATGATTATGGACATTCAACAGCAGATGGTAATTGCTGAACTTCTTTTGCATCCTTACATCTTTACATCTAGAGAGAGAGCCCAGAGCCAAGAGCCGAGAGACCTCGTGTCCCTCTGTTACTATAAAGATGTGCTAATACTAACGTCAGCATTTAACTCTAGCTATATAAGGACAAAACCCCCACATCCACATTCCAGAGCTCTCGGACAAAGAAAGCCTTGTGAGTTATTGATACTATCTGTTACTTATGTTAATCCACACATCCATATATAATCAATAGAAACATAGAATATGCAATATTCTACATTCCCTCTGTTTATGGTTTGTTTTAAAACCATAACACAATGTCACTGACCTGTCCATTCATACATCACTTGTATCACATTCATTGAGCATAGAACAAGATGTAGTCACAACTTTCTATTATATGAGAGTTCTTAGAAGGTCGAGTTTCTATCCCTCATACTGCTTACTTTACTTCAAACTCCCTCTGTTTCAGCTTTGTATTGATATCCATATCCATGTTACATCATAACTACTTGAACATAATATATACATATAGCAATAATAAATGAATAAAATATTTACAAATGTTGATCCAATAAACAATAAAGCAATCAGAAAGATCTACCTGCTCTGGTACAGTCATATCTTTGTAGATAACAAAATCAAGATGATAACTTTTTCTAAATAATAATAACTGTGTTTCACTATCATATTCCTACAGACACATATAACACAGTATTTTAATTCTCAATACCTGATATTACTTAAGTACTAATACATGTATTACTATAATATACGTCCACTTATATTTCCATGAATCAAATTTTATCTAGTGAACTTAAACTATTTAGGTCATTTGTATTCATGAATTACATTCTTATACCATTAATACCACCTAGTGATGATTGCATCAATACTTTACAATCATAGTATTTAATTTGTATATTCAGTAGGCTCTCACTACCTAAAATATACCAACACTACTTATAAGACTTGTAACGGCACCCTCAGCATAAAAGGGTTAAACCGCCGTTTAGCAGATCTTCCCCTTCTAGAGACACAGGCACAGCTACTGCAGAACACCAATCCGCCGAACAGGAAACCATATGAATGCCGTAAACAGCCGAATAGGAAAAACCATCCGAATAGGTTTACACTCCTAGCAGTCAAATTGCCATGGAGCCAAAGTCTTTTATTACATGAATAGGCTCCATGGCA